ACGACTATATTCGCCTAGGCCGTGATTATATTAATATAGCTTAGAAATAAGGAGTCTACTAACTAATATTGTATACTAGCTAAGCGTTTTAATGTTAACGACTTAGTTTAGTTATTATTAGCTAATTATTCGACTCCGCCATTATTATAAAAGCTTAACTAGCTTTATTATAAATACTGAGTTATAAAGATAATTAGCCTATATATAATTAAGCTCGCTATACTATTATAGATCTACTCCTAATTCTATATAGACTTATTATATTATGCGGGCGATAACCCCTTTCCAGGATAGGTAGTAGATAACCCCAAACTACCGCTTATTCGAGAAATAACTTATAGTAAAGAATAGGAAGTCGAGGCAATCCTTTACGCGAGGATAAAAAGGTAAGGTAGGGGATTAAGATATAAAGTACTAGTATAATAGGTAGAATACTATAAGCCTATATAGGAACCGCTAGAACTATTATCGTAAACACGGGTATTTAATAAGTTTAAAGGGAAATTCGGGTTCGTAATAACGAATAATAGCCTAGTAGATACCTTCGCGCTATTACGATATAGGAACCAATATATAAGCGATCGTATCGCGATAATTATAAGGGAGTAAGAGTCGGATTTAGTTTAGGCCGGATAAGCCCCGCGCCTTAGCCACGCTTAATATAAGCCTAGATTGATATCCTTAGCCTCGAAATCGCTATCCTCGAGATTATCGACTTCCGTAAAAGTCTTACCCTTATCGCCCCGTTATAGGTCGGAGTCTATCTCCTTAACCTTATTATAGTTTTTATCGTCGCCGTTATCGGGGATTATAACCGCGTTAGCGATAGTTATACCCGTAGGCGTAAAAGCCCGCCTACGCTCCGTGTATTATTAGAATTCGGAGATTACGATATTAGCGTAACCGAGTACGAGTATCTCCCTAAATAGCCGAGTATACTCCCTTAGCTCTATAAGACTAAGGCGTTTAAAGTCTTTATCCGATAATATCGACCCTAATAAGGGAGTAGGAGTAGTAGGATAGGCGTTCTTTTCCGCTACGATATTAGGAGGGACCGGGCCCGAAACTACCACCTTACCTATAACCTCGTAAAGAGAAGATAAGGCTAGCTATTCCGCCCTAATAATAACCTCCTCTAAAGGCGACACGTTTAGTCCTAACACTATCTTTTCTATAACCTTTAAGGGAGGAGAAAAGACTAGCATAACCACCTCGCTAATAACCTCCGTTACCGGAGGAAGTAAGGCTAGTTTAGCTACCTCGTTAATAACCTTAGGAAAAGGTAATAAGGCTAACTATGGTGCTACCGCTTTTTAGACCTCCTAGGGAGGAGAAGGGGCTAACGCGATTACTATACCGGGAGCCTCCGCGGGATATATAGTTATAGGTAATATCGCTATTATTACTTCCCTAGCTATAAGGGTATCCTAGAACGCCGCATAGGCATTAAGATACGGTTCTTACTTCTAGAAGAAGAGTTAGCGATACTATCACGACCTTTTAGGGGGGAGGAAGTCTTATAGGGGCGTTCTCGTTATTATCGCTAATAAAAGCAGCCGTCTCGAATAACCTCTACGTATAGCCTTTAAGGTACGCTAGAAGAGGAGTATACCGGTATATCTTCGTAGAGTATATATAGTATTTCTTCCCCCGACTAGTTTAGCTATAATAAAGGCGCTTATACTTCCTATCGGCGACGTCGCGCGTATAAAGGAGGTATAGCTCGGTATAAACGCTACAGGGAGGGTGCTTAGGAGGCCGACTACCCGCCGATTTCTTCTTCTTAAGCGGCGGGGAGGGCGATAACGCGAACTATTATACGGTTAGTATCGCCTTAAGACGTAAGAGTATTATACTTATATTATCGTTAGCGGTACGCTTATTACTATTATTACCCTTATTATCGCCGGGGGCTAGCGCCGTCTATAAAAACGATATAATTTAGTAAAGGGTTCCTAATAAAAAGATCGCGAGCGGGAGACGGCTTACCTTAGACGGGGAACTCTTAAACTAGCCGAGTATTACTATTATTATCTAAGGACGGGTAATATTAGAGGAATCGTCGCTATAAGAAAGAAGAGTATATACGTAACCGCTATTACTATTATTATTATTATTAAAGGTGGGGAGGGGAATAGAGGAAAAGAGGGCCTATAAGGAAAACGGGGCCGATATATCTACGGATAGTATCTACGCGAGGGTGGCCTATATTATTGTTTCGGGCACGTGAATAAAGGTTAATAGGCTACCTTAGATTTCTTTAATATTGAGGTAAGGGCGAGGTAAGATAAAAGGACACGACTATTCCTTTATCACCGCGATATAAGGGGGAGCCGAATTATAACGGTGACGCGCGGTTATATAACCCCCGGAGGGAGAGGGGGGAGATAGTATTACGGGTTAACCCCGATATAGAGAATCCGGCTATACTCCGGATTTTCCTGACTACGCGCTTAGTTAACGGACCTATATTGCTAAGTTATCGCTGCCTTATAGCTAGCCCAGCGCTATAGACTTTTCTCCTTTTTCCTTCTTCCTTCCTTAGTTCTAGATAATCTAGTATTACGACCTTACTTAGTGCCACGACCTATAACCAGTCGTTCATAATAGGCCTTATAGTTGATAGTTATTAGTCTCTTAATTTTAACCCCCTACGTCTGCTCTTCTAGGTGCCTAAGAGGTTTAGGGCCAGCGTGCCCTAGCCGCAGATACTATAAGATACTCTCCGTAATACTTGGATATCGTATTATCGATTGTTAGGTGAGAAGAAAAGCCTAGAAAAGCAGCCGTAGATTAGTTAGAGGGTATATATTTAATAACGGGTTGATTAAAGCGGTGACTTAGCTAGTATAATATAGATCCGTTAGCACGTCGAACGGAGTTATTTAGTAGCTTCTAATCCTACTAATATCCTCGTAGTCGTAACCGTTAGTTTAAGAGTAAATTATAGATAAAGTCTTCGTAGTATACCACGTTTATGGGCCTAAATTTAAGGCCTTCTATTAATCCGTTTAATCTTATGGTCACGTTACCATAACCTTTAATAGATAATGATAAACTGCCTATAACGATATAGTCTCCTCGCGTTACGGGTATAAAATCAGAAAAGCAGAAAACGTTATTAAAGATGTAAATAATAGCGCTGGAATTAAGGATAGTAAAGGCTTAAAAAGGGTAGCTAGTAGTAGTGCTAACTGTAAAGCTAACGGTATAAAAGACGCCGTTATAGACACTACTATAGTCGAGTCACGCCTCTTTAAGCTATATAAAATCCGGGCCTATATCCTTCTTCACCTTTTTTACAGCGCGCAGTTCTTCTATTTCCGTGTGTATCGCGGGGTCGTATTTTAGGATCTATTAAACAGTTATTTTAGTGTTTTCGTAAGGGGTTAGCCGTTAAACGCTATCTCCGGAAAAATATAGTAATAGGCGTTAACATCGTGATAAGGCATAGCATATATATAATAGGGTTCGCCTTATTAAAGGGCAGATTAACGACGCTTAGAAGAAGAATGGTTAGCTAAAGTAGTAGAAGGTATAGCTATAGTATTCTTAGCTTTATTCTTCCTATGGCCTCCCTTCGTCCCGGGCTTAGCCATGGTATCTAAGGTATCTTCGCCCTTTTCGCTTCTAGTATATAGTGCCGAAAATACTATAGCGCGGTAGCTACCGCGTTTTCCTTAGTCTTTAAGTCTAGTCTCGATATATCGTTAACTAAGGGTATAAAGGCCCTCGGAGAGGACTACTTTCTTATCTAAAAGGCGTCCCTCGATTTCGGTCTAGTCGTGTCTAGCGATTATACGTATTCCTTTAAAGAAGTCTACTACCTAAATATATATTACGGGCTTCGATTAAACCTTTTAAAGGCGTAGTAATAGCTCCTACTATCTAGATAACTACTCTTATAGCTTTTTTAGAATCATTAGCGCGTTATAGGCGTGGCGTTATATAGTAGTAGCTTACGGCTTTAGTTAATAGTATTAGTTTACTAGGTTACAATAGTCCTATTACCCATAACGTACTTAGCGTAGTTATCCCTCTATATCTTCTAGTATTATATCGCTAAATCGTAGCCGTGTTACCTAGTAGGTATTAGATCTAACCACTATAAGGGCGTAGCTTTTATTTATAGGGTTATATACGAAGGCTAGAAGTTAGCGTAGGAAGGTAAAACAGGCTTTTAAAGAGGGGAAATAGGATTATTAGTGCGTAGATATTTCTAGACTTTATTATTAACGGCCGTAGTTTCGTAGTGGCTATACTAGAGCTCCTAATCGCGGTGGGTTTTATAGGTAACTAGCTTATATTCCGATATCTTAAGGGTTATTTATAGATTAACACGCTATATCGGCGTAGCTAGATAGCTTCTTAATCGGTAGTAGTAAAAGGTAAAGGGTAGGTTTTTCACTTAGTAAGTAAGCCTCTTAATTATCAGATAAAACGTAGTCGAAATCGTTATAAAATAGGTTAAAAATAAATTAAGGTAATTATGTATAATAATAACTATATCGGACCGTTAGGGAACCGCTGCCACCGTATTTTATATAGTGCAGATTCTGTAAGCGTCCACCCGGATTATAATCTTAGCAATCCGGCCTGTTACGTAACCGAAAAGACTTGTCGCACGTCAAATAGCACTTGGATAATTAACTTAGTAGAGCAGAAATCTCGTGTGTATGTATTATATTAAGTTATATCTGTGTGAGTCTTTTATGCCCCTAATTTTGGGTGGTGAAGACTCTATTATGGGTACTATATTATTTGGATCCTATCCGGTCTTTTCCGGTATCCGCCCCTGTTATATCCTGATGCCCGAGGTCCGAAGCCCTTAGTTAGAGAGTGGATCCCCCCTGGATCCCCTATAGACCATGTCGTGGTCCTGCCTATGCGATAAGACTATCGTCTGTTCGATAAGCTCTGGCTAGCTGTTCGCCCCCTATTCGTGACATAATTAGGTACCCGCTATTAACAACTCCGTACCTTATTATGTACCATGTTGAGGCTAAGCTACTCCACTAACTTCGGGTGCCTCAACAGCATCTGATGCCTGGCTACGTTCGCCTTGCCTCCTCTCTTCGCATTCAACCTTCTGCTCTGCCTGCTCTTACTCACACCCCCGAAGGAAGCATGCATTGATTTCTGCTGCTGATGGGCCCGATATAAGCATCTCTTTCCACAGACGATACAGCAGCTCATCCGTCGCTGCAAACATTCTCTCAGGCCTTGCCAACTCAAAATTGTCCTCCCCTCCCTAACGATACACACCTGTGCTTACTACCTTATTTTTCTTCCTATAGGGCCATATGTGCTCATTCTGAGCTACTCGAGGGAGGGTTACTATCACGGGGGTGCTCTTGACGAATCACGTCGAGTCCATCTTCGTTCGCCATGGCTGCTGCGAACCAGCAGAATGATGCGCCCGGCCTCAGTTCAGCTGATGCCCGAGATCCGGGTATATTGTCGAGGATTCATCAAGCACTTGAGGTTGTTCACAGCCCGCATTCTACCAACGATGACCGACGTGATGCGCAGTTCTTTCTCGAGGAAATAAAGAAAGACAAAGAAGCACCTTTTCACGGCTACGCTCTCGCTTCGGACAAGGCACAATCGCCCGTTGTCCGACATTATGCGCTCTCCCTTCTCGACAATGCTATCAAACATACTTGGGCGGAATATACAGAGGATCAGGCCGCAACCATTCGGGGCTGGGTACTTGAGCTCTCGCACGGCATCTCTCCAAGCGATCCCTCATATATCCGGAATAAGACGGCCCAGCTCTGGGTCGAGATTGCAAAAAGAAGCTGGGGAACTGAATGGATGAACATGGACGAGCTGTTGGTCCAACTTTGGCAGATACCCGACTCTGCCGTTCACAAGGAGCTCGTCATGACCGTTCTGGAGACTCTGGGGTATGAGACTTTCTACGGTGATGACGTTGTGGTGGCCATGAGACAAAGCGTTCTCTGCAAGGGCTGGACGGAGATTACCACACCGGCTTCGATTCTGGCGGAGGCCGTCAAAAACAGAACTGCAGCCTCTGACATGCGCTACGGTGACGACGGCTGGGTGGTTCGGATGGTGGCATTGCTCGAACAATGCCTGAACGATGATCTGGATGGCAGCGCCGACGTCCGTTCGTGCGTCTCAAAAGCTCTGTCGGTACTCAGTGTCATCATACCCTGCACCATACCTAAGGGCATGGCGGCCGGGGGAGTCCTACCCGTAACATGTAGAGCGCTTTCCACTCCATATGTCGCTATCCAGAAGGTGAGGGGTCTTCCTTTGCATGGTCGTCCGCAACTCGCCGTTACATTACTGGGCTGACTTCATCTTAGGCGGCCTTAGAGGTCTTGCATACGCTTTACTCGCGCGATGATCTCTACGAGACGGAGTTCGCCGAACTCGTAGCTCCCATGTACCAAGGCCAGTCGGTTCAGTTGCTGAAGATGCTCTTTGAATGGTCCGTCGTAGACGCTGAAAACATTGATGACGACAAATACCAATTTGCAAAAAAGTTCTCAGAGGTTCGTACGCCATCCAATGCCGTCGCCACCTATCCCACAGTCCGGATTTGCTCACGAGATGTGTCAGATGTTATCTCTTCTGGGCAACTATCTCGACCGCAGATTTTCAGAAGTGCCGTCTGATTCGGACATTGATGGATTTCTCAAGCTGCTTCTTCTGGCGGTGCAGAGCCAGAGCCTCATCATATCTATTCCTGTCCTGGTCACATGGACTCGGCTTCTCAACAATCGCCTGGTCGGGCAACGCACTGCCAATTCGCAGCTGATCGGGCCTCTTCTGGAACTCTGTGCCTCGCGTCTCATTCGTTACGAGAATATGCTGGAGGACAGCCAAGATCCGACCTACCTTTTCTTAATGGAAGATACAGACACCATCCCAGAGCGCCACGCCTTCCTCGGAAACTATCGCCGTTACAGCGTTCAGGTCATTGAGACAATAGTCTGGCTGACGCCCACCGAGGCAATCTTACATATTTTGGGACAGACTGAATATGTGCTACAGCACCTTTACGATGGAGAGCGGCCTTTGGATGGTGAGTGCTTTGTCTCAGCATTCTGGCCACGACCTGACTGACACAACACAGCCGCTGCATACGTTAGGCATTCCATGCCTGTTCTACGTGCGGATGCCCACTTGACCGTCATAGACGCTGCTAACAAGGGCTACATGAAATGGCGGACTGCACCGCCCCAGGGTCATGACTTGGATCATGTGAGTTGTGTGCATTTTCCGACGCCTGCGGGTTTCCATGCATTGTTAACCTAGAAAAGGAACGACAGCGAGTACATCTCGAGGAAGTTCTTGAAGCGTGGTGCAGCAAGCTTTTGGAGATGAAGTTCGAGGACCCCATGATTCGAAAGCGAGTACTGCAGGCACTCGTATCATTTTCCACAACGGCGCTTGATCAGAAACCCGGCTTCATGCTCAAGGTTCTGGAGCACATCTTGATGACATGGCCGGCTCAGCAGCCAGAACAGAGAGCGTTCAACGAGGCGATCAAGGAGTTTCAGTCGGAAAGCATGCAAGAACTCCAAAGACTAGCAACAAGAGTCCCTGACCATCTAGTCGCTGTTTATGACCAACTCGAAAGTCGGGTGAAAGAAATGGTTGCGTCGGGAACGCTTGACGAGAAACGCCAAATCGCCTATCAGACGTTCTTGTTCATCATCATCCACAGAGCAAACCATATCGATCCTTCGGTCAAAATGCAGCGTTTAAAGAGCTTCATTGATCCTATCAAGTCCCAGTGGGAAAGTCCTGATCTCCAAAAAGCCTTATCTTCCTACTCCAGCTTCTGTGAGTTAATGGGCTTGGATAAGGCCAAGAGCTATCTGACAAGCCGTCGTGCCCACGAGATGACCGATTGGGGTGCATTCAAGCTGGATCCGGAAGGGCTTGCATTACAGGCGGAACTCGAAGAAAGGCAGAGGGTAGGCGATGTTTCTGTCCAAACGAAGCCTTATTGACCATTTTTTGGCTGACCCGAGGACCAGTTATTGCCCCTTCGCTTGACCAAGTCATTCATCTCCTATTCGGTCGAGAGGCTTGACAAAGCCTCACCTGCTTTCCAGGCCTCCTATGGCCTGTGGAATGACGCCTTTCCAATCATCCTTCCATATCTTCTCCAGTTGCTCAGGTGAGTTTGGTGATGGCCCAAACCGCAGTCTCTCTCTTTCTCTCTCTTTTTTCCTCTTCTGTTTTTTTTTTAACTCTCTATGTTAGCCATGCCCATGCCGCGCATAATCCTAGCAACTGGTCCCAATTCGAACCGGTAAAGGAACCCGTTGTCAAGCGGGTCATGACTGATCGCTTCTGGCAAGCTGGAATTTCCGAGGGCAGTAAAGATGACTTTTACGCGCGAGTTGAGGAAAGGAGAAACACTCTCGAAGGCCTTGCATCGTCCATTCGAGGGTCAGTTCGCAATGTCCGAGAGACGTGCTACGCGATTATTTATTGCATGAGTCGGCTTGAGGTCTACTTCTATGGCTTCAGCGAGTTGCCAAACCCGCTCGCACAGGCGCTTTACAGCGATGCTATCCACTTATCAGCTCACCAGCAGATCAATCTTCTCAACTTGACGAGATACCTGGTCGACGACTGTCCTGTGGAACAACGCGAGCATTTCTTGGCCCCTCTCCTCTCATCATGCTTCCGACAAATCGACAGTAAGATCAATTCTGAATGGGAGAGGCTCGGCCGCCAGCAGTCGGTTGAAGCTGTGGGCGATGATTTGACAGAGGAGATGAAGTCGGAAAGCATCTTGAGGCAAGTCACTCATAATGCTGTCCTCATGTTGGCTGACCTTCTGGACCCAACCAAGAAAAGTAAGTGTTTTGTTGGCCCGGCATCTGACCCCCACTCTCCTTCTCGAAGACATAGATTCGAACAAGCCGCCTAGGGTTGCTAACGGGATGCCCAGATCCGCCGCCGTTGAGAGGCCACGACCAACCACGACAGTACCCTACACTGCGGAAATTTTGCCTCGCCAATTCGGATGTCGTTGAGCCGCTGTTGTTGTTCTGTACTCACATCATTCGCGTGAGAGACACGCGGTGCTGTAGTATTATTCTGCGGGTTTTCCGGTCCATCATTCCTGATTTCCTCGCGGCGGAAACCCCAACTGCACCTGTGGCCCAGGGAGCGAACGATCCGGCCAATGGCGCGAGCCCGGATCCTTGGCTGGATACAAGCCCTATGCCGCCTCAGAAGGCGACACCGATACGAGAGTATATATCATCGGAGGTTTTGCGGGCTTGCATCACATCCTTCCACGAGCCTTACTTTGTGGACTTGCAGAAGGATTTGGCCAGCCTCATTGCGGCCATTGTTGTCTACTATGGCCCCATCACTAGCACACCGAGGGATGTCCTCCTGTCTCTGCCGAATGTGAGCGTCAAGGATCTAGACAGGTTGAGCGAGTTTTCGGCCAAACCAGGGTTCCAGGCACGTCAGCAGCGGGCTTTGGTGCTCCACTTGTTGAAAGACCTGAAAGGAGTCAGCATTGCCGAGATGGGGAAGCTTCCCAAGAGCAGCGTGCCCCCACCGCCGAAGAAACCCACACGCAGCAAGATGGCCCAGGAGTTCATGACACCTGGTAACGAGGGTGCTGCGAAGCAGCCCCCGACTGGTGGGGTAGACGATGAAGGGTTGGAGGGCTTGGCATCCCTCTTCGATGGGTAACTACCTGGTGGTGTGTGGAAGGTCGGATGACTTTGGCCAAGGCACAGGTTGTCGGGACGGCTTCTAATTGTGATTACGAGGCTCCTTCTAAGTTCTCCCGAACGACCCCCTTTCTAACACCTGAAGACAGTCTTTGGGATCCGGTCCCGGCGACGGTTGAGGAGACCCCGCTGGGGGTTGGGGGAAGGGGGGTCCGCTGCAACTGCAAGGACCCCGGGACATGGGAAGGCGGTGACTGTTTACGAAAAGATGCCAGGAGTTTGGCACCAATCAACACAATATATGGGACAGAAGTGCTTTTACTGCCCCCCAGAGGATGAGGCCACGCCCGATACGCATTGTGATAACACAAGTATCATGTCACGGTGTTTTGAGATTCGGATATTGGGAACATGGGGGTGTTGGGGCAGGGGGCTTTGCACGAAAATTAGAAACGAAAGAGCCGTTGCTGGTCAGTGTTCAAGTTCAAGTTGCTGAGCATGCCGTCTAGCCCAAGCCTATCCTATGATTCTTCTTTTTTATCCACCGCTCCCCGGATGTACTGTAGTTAAAGGGCATGGCTCAAGGTCAAGAGGTCCTGACGGCCAGTGCATTAGTGAGCGGCTAGGGACTTTGCCGTCCTCCCACCCCGACGGGTGTTGGTTTAAGTTGTCGTCAGTCTATTGTGGCTGTCACTTTGACGTTCGTTGGGTATCTTCTACATGGTGACTTGAAGGCCTGGCGGGCCCCATCCCCAACGTTTTGGACATTTCCATGGTTCTGATAAGACGGGTCCCAGCAAGAGATGCTGCCAACGAAGTCTATAACAGAGTAAGTCAAACCACCCTAATCCGGCCACCCCCCTAATTTAGCCCACTTAACCGAGACGACTCAATCCAAAAATAAATCTATTTTCACCCATAACGCAGCTATTCTAGTAGGAATTCTATATATATAGATTTAAATCTAGCTTCGTGCTCCCTAGGTAACGCGTTAATTAGCTTAATTAACGCCTCCCCCCTCTATCACGCCCTCGCGATTACCTCGATAAAGGCAAACCGTTAGTTTACCTCTAAAGGCACTTTTACCCTCTTTTTCGGCCTTTCCAGATCTAATTATACCTTTAAGTAACTAAGCTAGAACTACCTCTCTACTATTAAAACGTCTTTTTTATCTAGTACCTTTAGTACCTTTATAAATAGCCGCCGAGTAAAGCGGGTAGTAGTATAAGGGGTTCTTTGGCTATAAGATAGCTCTCCCTATATCTCCCGGAGATCCTATAAATCATAGGGCGTTACCTATTATTTTAGGCTAGTGCTAACTTACTCTAAAGGAGTTATTAGGCGGCTACGGGATTCCTTATCTAAGAGCTATAGGCTTAGAAGTGCCTTTGCCCGATTAACCGGCCACTACCCTAATACCCGTTATCCTGCCTTAATATTCTTCGCGATAATAGCGTCTTTTCGTGCCTTACCGTAGCAGGCGAGGAAATTCCGCTTCCCAATGAGCGCGCTATCCGTAAGATACGATAGTTTCGCGAGGTACTTACGATAAGACGCCTTAAAAGGCCCGAACACGGATAGATTAAGCGGCTAGGTGATATATAATAAATAAGGAGGTAAAAACAAAAGGAGGATATTACTCTAATAATATTCCTATTAGAACTCGTCGGAGAGGTGGCTCCTATAGCCGTCTAGTAGTAGTAAACGTGGTAAACCTACTATATCTGCCTCTATTTTAGTACGGGCGTTAAAGATCTCTTTAAGCCACTTTATAGCTATTTTATTAAAGGTCTAACCGTTTTGAGAGGCAGTAAAGCGCTAGCTATTATAGTTATCCAGATCTTTAGGAAACTATTACTATTAGACCGATTTTCCCTTAAAACTAATAAGCGGAGGTAAGGATTAGCCCTTAGCAGAGATATACTCGATAATCGAGGTCTAGATCCGCGTGCTAGGCGTTTTAACGTAAATACTCCTCCTCTCCGCGTGCTCTATTACTAGGCTATTTATTCCTTACCCCTCTTATATCCCCGTTTCGTCTATATTATATCGAAATCGCGGTAGAATAGCCTTGATTTTCGGCTACTCGAGCAGGTTAAAGAATTCCTGTAAAACTTTAGCTATAACGCTCTTAAGACGGTAGCTCTAAATCCGTTTACCTTTTATAGTCTTTAAAGAGGGATTCCTAGCTAAAAAGCTAGCTATCTAACCCCTCCCTAAAGGACGTGTATTATTCTAAGTATATAAGATCTTCTAGGCAAATTCCTTAACCTATAAGTATAAGGGCGCGAACCCTAACACGGCCTATACCAGTACCTAATTAGTAAGAGATTACTCTTAAATAGGCGTAAGCCGTTCAAGATACCTATAGGCGGTTTTCTTAGGTTAGCTACCGTTTAAACGGTTATAAAGGGTAGTTTAAGGCACGCCCTAAACGCGTGAAGCGTGATAGACACTTACGTCCCACCGAATATTATAGAGAGCGAGTTAAAGGTCACTTTCCGTGTATTTTAGTATAGTACAACAGAATATATACTTCGATTAAGCGATTTTTAATATTATATTAAGATATCGACGCGTTTTTATCCGAGGTGGTGGGTTAGATTAGGGAAAAATAGGTAGGCCAAATTATCGCACGTTAAATAGCACTTGGATGATTAACTTCGTAGAGCAGAAATCTCGTGTGTGTGTATTATATTAAGTTATATCTATATAAGTCTCTTATACCCTTAATTTGGGTGGTGAAGACTCTGTTATAGATACTATATTATTTAGATCCTATCCGGTCTTTTCCGGTATCGGCCCCTATTATATCCTGATACCCGAGGCCCGAAGCCTTTAGTTAGGGAGTGGATCCCCCCTGGATCCCCTATGGACCACGTCGTGATCCTACCTATACGATATACCCCCTTAGTTAAGGTGGGTCTTCCTAGGTTAACTAACTAATTAGAGGCTTCGGTTTAAACTAAACACTCTTAGCTTTTCTATCGTAAAATCAATAGTTAAGGGGAAAAAAACGCCCTCGTAGAAAGGATCTAAATCCGCCCTATTTAACCATTTAATTTAATTCTATCTTAATTAGTTCCTTAATCCTAATTAGCCGGATCTGCTTAATCGGATCTATATCTATCGGATCTACTACGCCCTTGGAGGCCGTCGTCGTTGTTACGGCTATAGCTTTAGCTACGGCTTTAGCGCGATTAATCTTTTTATACAGTTATTTCCACTACTCGATACGATCCTTTTAATCTGTTAAATTAAGCTATTACTATAGTCTTTTAATCCCCGCCTCCGGTAATACCTTCGTTAAACCGTCCACGATGATCTCCTTCGTGTTAACGTACGTAACCTTAAAGAGACCTTATTTTACTAACTAGCGCGCCTACTAGTTATATATATCGATATACCGTAGTCTTATCCGCAGGTGTTATGCCTTCTTATTAATAAGGTTAATAATCTACTAATTATCGTAGTATAGCTATAGCTATTATTAATCTAACCGAAGCTCTAAATCCCTTAATATCCGACTAACGAATAACGTCTCTTTAGCGGCCCTTATAAGAGCGATTAGTTCCGATTCTATTAATAACGTCGTGACCGTCGGTTATTTACCCGCTTTATAGTTAACGGTGCCACCGAAAAGCTTTATCGTATATCCTTATAAACTTTTACGGTCTGGATTATCCCTAAAGGACGCGTCGCTTACGGTTAGGAAGAGTCTATCCCCACCGAATTCCAGGTAATAATACCTCGTGTGGTATAAGAATAGCAGCACTTATTAAGCCCTCTTAAAGTGATTCGAGGAGGGGTTGACGTTATATTAGGAAAGTTTCGAATAGGCAAACGCGATATCGGGTCTTATCACGATAGTAGTATATAGGATAAAACCGATTATACCCTAATATTAACGGACCTTAGGAATTAACGCGCGTATACTATCGTATAGTATTAACGGCTTTATAGATAATAGGACCTTTAGTGGTTTTCGGCAGAGTATATCTAGGTAGTATTTAACCGCGATCTTCTTTATATAGGAGGATTATAATAGCTATAACCTATAGGTGGCTTTATCCCTTAGGACCTTAATTCCTAGGAATTAACGGATTTCTTCGCCTCCTAATACCCTATAGCTCCGCTTAAGGGCGGCCTTAAGGTTATTGGCGTTAGTCTTATAGTCCTTATAGTATAAAAATCCGATATTATCGACGTAGAAGAATAGGACTAAACCGTCGCGTTTATAATATAGGGGTTATTAGGTATAGCCATGAATTCTATTTTCTATAGCGTGCCGCTAAGTTCCTCTTACTATAGTAGTAGCGATACCCTTCGACCGAAGAGGGCTTTTCGTAGTAATAGGACCTTACCTAGTACCTTATAGCCTTACAGTATCTTTATAAACATCTTTTATTTAAGGCTAGCGTTAACGAACGCGTTAACGGTATCGAACTACCTTATCTCTAGATTAAATCTGGTAGCGATCGCTATAAGTATACGGAATAACCGCGATACTAGTGTAACGGCATAGTTATCTTTAGTCTTTAACCGTTTTTATTAATCCCCTCGCACTATACGGCGTGCCTTATACTTAAGGAGGGTGCCCTTCTTATTGAATTTATATATATATACCTATGTATAGGTAAGGGCTTATTACTTATTAGCCTAATCACCGCCTACCTCTTACTAGTAGCCTATTTATCGGTAGCCCTTAAGGTATTCCCCCTTAGCCTACAACCACCGCTTCCGTAACGGGTATAGACGTATATCGCGGTGGTAGTTTAGTAGAGGCGGGAGATCCTCGCGGGTTAGACACGATAAGGAGGCGTTAAAGGGAGAGGGATTTATAGTATTAGCGCCGGTAATATTACCGTTATTAATAGCTTACTTCCTCCCGCGTATAGGGTTATAAGTCCTTCTAGCGTTAAAGAACGCCTTCTAGGTATTATTATTCTATACCTTCTTAGTTATATATAGGCTTATAATAGTTCTCGCGATAGATAGGTGCGCGGCCAATAAGCGTGTGGCCGATAAGCGTGTAGCCGATAGGCGTGCGGCCGATAGGCACCCCTTAGGGCTATTTATAGCTATCCGTTAGTGGTTATCGTGTTCTTCTATCTTAGCGCCCCTAACCACCGCTAACGCTATAAGGAACCCGCGCGCGGGATCTTCCGGGGATATGAAAGGCGTGGGAAATAGTTTAAACCTCGTAGTAGTAAACCGTGAAGTGTCCGTAGTAATAGCGGTGGCCTCTCCCGTAGTAATAGCGGTAGTATAGTCTTCTCCTATAGTAATAGTAGTATCCGTAGTAATAGCGGTAATATAGTCTATAGTAATAGTAATAGCCTCTCCCGTAGTAATAACGGTGGTGTTAGAGTTACGAGGTTCTAAATCTATAGCATAGGTATTAGGCTATAGATTTAAAACCTCGTCTAT